CCTGCTGGCATGCTATCACCTGCTGGTATGCTATCACCCCAGGAGTTTCTCTTCACAATTTTCACTCAGTTTGACCACAGCTTTTTTTGTTCATTCTGTACCCAACTTGCTCCCAGGTTGCCCATGGCAAAGCAGTTGAGGCCAGGACTGTTCTGTCGGAGTTCCGCGCCTTTGTCAGCGATCAGAGCCTACTGGGCTTCTGGACGGGCCTCATCATCTGGCAGCGTGACAGTGCCGGCTACGTCCACTGCCCATTCCCCTGCTGCGACATGCGCCTGTCGGGCACGTCTGCCGTGCACACGCTCCTGCAGCGGCACTGGCGCTACCAGCACGCCCGGCCATACCTCTGCAACATCTGTGGTTCCAGCTACGCCACGGATGGTGCCCTCAAGGTTCACTTTTTCCGCACTCGGCACAACGAGGATGGGCGGAGCCGGGGCAAGAAGCCCAAAGGGGCAGGACGGCAGGGCTTCTCGGTGCACCGGCGAGAAGCCATCGTGCGCTACATTCTCAAAGCCGAGAGACTCATGGACGAGAGTGGACAGTGATCGGTTATCCAGTTTAGAAATCATCCCAAGACCAGACACAAGACCAGGCATAAGTGTTAGATTAACCAATGACAGAGGAATGCTCTTGCTGCAGTTTATGTGAGTAGCTTGGGACCAGGGTCAGAGCTACTCTGCTGGGCACCAACTGGTGCTAGCCAGCAGTCCAAATCGAGTGCACACTGTCCATTTATGCTGCGTCGTCCATCCCCCAACCAGCTGGCACCAACATTCTCTAATTACGGCCCACATGTGCCTTGAACTCAGACTCGGGCGCTTGTGTTGGTCTTGTCTGGTCATATGATGGTCTTATGGGATATCAAACTACAACACTGATGTAAAGACGTTCATTCTCAGTGGGATCTTGTATGATTGTGTGAAAATATTTTTGTGAGAGAACTGCAGATGCAGCAGTGTAGTACCTCCTGTGTCATTGATATGCAACCAATTTTTATTTGAATGTGCACAAACTGGTTTATCAAAGGATAGGGTTATGACAAAAATTTTCCTCGGGTGCCCTTTTATGTCATGTTTTGTATTTTTGCATGTACCATAGAGCAGCAGAGCGTCTACTGAGCTCTTAGCTTGGTTAAATAAAACGAATTCTTTATTTGGAATATTAGAATTTTCAATTCCTTCGGAACCGTCTTTCAAAGACATATTTGATGGTATTTGTTTATAATAGTGGAGTTTCCCTTTTTATGAGAATCTTTGTGGTTTCATTTCAATGTGACAAATGGCGCCTGCTTGCATGTGTGATGAATTTTAGTAGGAATGCTTTTTTTCAGGACTTAGAATTTGCTGTTTTTCCTGGTTTTTTAATGTGAGAATTGTTTACGTAAATTGTTCTGGAGAAATGAATTCTGTCCTGTTCCACATGCATTGCTATTTTTATACTGATAATTTTCTCATGAGTATTGAAAGAATAAGCCATTTGCGAGTTAAATTTGAATAAAATCTGGTACACTGAGTTATTTAAATTCACATGAACATAACTTGAATTCTCCATAACTAAAAACCACTGTTGCTTTACCTCGTGATTTTGGGCAAGCTTTGCTTAGTTACATACATATAAGAGATGTCTTGCAATAATACACTGCTCTCAATGGGTAGGAACGGCACAAAGGAACCAGTCCATTCCAGAGATGGTGGTCGCTATGCAAAAGCTTGCTCCGAATCACGAGGTATAGTATAGCAACGGTGTCTTTAGTCTTGGGAATTCAAATTGTTACGTTTTCTGTGTAATCAGATAACACAGTGTACCAGATTTTATTCAAATTTAACTCGCAAATGGCTTATTTGTGCAAAGTGTGCTGTAACCATGGCAATAAAAATGAAGTGTGGAAAGAAGCAGCTTTGTTTCAAATGACGAACAAGATCTTTGTCAGGGATCATCAGATGTCAGAAGACCAGAACCTTCTGGAAATTGACATTTCAGAGTGATTTCATCTCCAATATAATGAGAGTTACTGTACTTACCCTCAACCCTAAAATGCCAATCTTTCAAAATCCGAAGGCTCGAAGGATTTTGTGGAATTGATGAAAATCGAGCTCAACCACTCACTTTTTTACAAACAGCTTGATCAGTGAATTAAACTGTGTGCCATAGCTGTTCTGAAAATCAGATTGGCTGATCAGGAGTGCTTTGCAATGTATGCTAGGGGCTATTGGGAACCAGCTTGACCCAACCATACCCACCATAAGATCAGATTTTGTGCAGTTACTTTGAAGAGTGTGCTCTAACTTTAGGGTCCAAACACTGCCACTTTGCACGGGGCTGGATTCCTTTCTCGTACTTCTGTGTACAAAGAATTTGAAATTGGATTTCAGCCCAATGAATTTTGAAAGATTCAAGTGTGTTCTCAGCAACTGTGTCCTGCTTGGGTAGGTTAAACACAAACCATCTAAGCATGAGACGGCCAAGAAAATTGAATCATTGTCACAAATACATGTATTGGCTTTTTGATAGCTAATTATCAGCCTAAATTTGAAGTACGTGTCAAAAAGGTTGTATTCAATGCTCAAAGCTTGTAATGTTTCCCAATGTAAGCAATCTTACAAGTCACAAGTATTTTGTTCAAAGCTTGTTATCCATCTAGGGTGAACTTAATGATTGTCCATGAATACATGTATTTAAAATTACATATTTAGGGA